GGCCTGACGCTGCATGAAGCCTCTTTTGTAAGGCCTTAATCAGTTAATGAGAGAAGAGCTCTCATGGCCTAACCATCTCTTAAAGGCTCTACTTCTTAACACTATCACATTGGCAATACCTGAATTTTGGAGGGAACACATTCAAACCATAGCAGTCACAATAATTATGTATAAATTATGTTTATTTTCATACTTTATATTCACATTTTTCTATTATGGTTTCTAAATGATCCTAAGAATAATGGATGATCATTGTAGAAAATACTTAAAACTATTAAAAAAAAACACTTAATATTTCACATATTTATTTCATTATTTTGTATGTTTGGTGGTTGACGGTATTACTCATGAAATTATTCTATTTATTCACCTACTATAATTTCAAGTAGACTTAATTATTTTTATCTTTTTTAAAGTAAATATATTCACTGAGTTAGTAAAAAGCAGGTAGTACCAAAGGGCTGATAATATAAAGCAATAAAAATGTAGATTCAGTTTAGTGGTGCCACCTTCTCCTGAGCAGGTCGGAACTTTTGATTTGTTATAATTGCTGTACCTAGAAAGTATGGCTGAGCTACTCTAGTATCTCATTTAGTAATCCATGTTCTTAATTTTGGCAAGATTGTCAACTGTGCTTCTGTAACCTTATGTCCTCCTGCTCTAGTCTGGAGGTCTGCCATGCAACTGACCTCTTTGGTATCTCTCTGCTACTCACCTGGGTGGAATCCAGTTTCCTGGATCCTTGACCTCCTCTTTCTGTGCTTGCTTCTGTATTCTGCACTTACTTCTCTATTCTGCACATCATGTTTAGCATGTGCCTCACTTTCATTACCCATTCTGCTTATGTCACCAAATCTTGAGTCCCTTCAATTCAGTTTCTGTAGGGGATAAAACCTCCAGTCTCTTACCTGGGTGTTTATTTGAGAAATGCTCAAGTAGTCTCCTGGACGTTGATATTTTGTGTGTGGAATAAAACAGTGTCAAGTCTTTTGATTAGAGACTTCCAAATGATCCCTTGTTTCATGCCCCTTCCCTCCCAACTACAAATCCACCTCCACTCTTCCCTAGTGCTGTCTGGGTTAATCTGCTCAGGTAACCTCAAAATAGTCTCACCAAGCACTTTAATTTGTGGCTTCCTCCGCATTGCTAAATTAGTTACCACTTGCTCATCTGCTTTCCATATTGCAAAATTTTGTTGAAATTTCCTGCCTACTGTTCTCCCTTTTTCTGTCCTCTTTTTCTTTGTGGCTTATACTTGTTTATTCCTTTGCTAGCATTTTAATGGACAGTCATGAGTAAAAGGAAATAAATTTTTTATATGTTACATCTGCCACCTTTAATTGTACTATAGACACTTTCAAAATGTAAAATAGTATTTTCAAGAACCATTTCATCATTTGAAGCTGTATATTATATTATTTTACAAAGTTTAAAAAATTTTTAAGCAACCATTTAAAAATAGACAACTTATTTATAATTTCAGGATTATTTTATGTTTCTTTAGTTTAAGATAGCTTTATATTTTTAGTTGAATCCCATATTAAAACAAAGCAAAAATTTTATCATCTAAACTTAATTACACAAGTAATAGAATATAAATTATGAACTTAAACCATTTTGCCGTACGTTAATGGAGAATTTTAAAGAGTTTACTTCATGTTTCAGTTTGTATATTTGAGATATAATATAGTGAAAATCCTTCATAAAGCCTTGAATAAAATTTCACATGTTTATATCCTTTGAAACATTTTCAATAATACATTTAAAAGTTTTTCTTCCATGTAAAATCATTGACAGATTAGCATGTAAATGGAGATCCAGGTATTCTACCTAATGTAGGCCTAAATGGGCAGGGAAACCAGTATAAATTTTTGCCCAGTGCTTAAAATTATTGAATGGGATCAATTATTGCCTTTTAGGCTTATCTAATCTCTATTCTAATTCTTTTGGCACTTCTCAGTATTATCAGTTGGAATCAGGTGAGAGCTGGAGACTCTTGATCACATAGAGGCCCGGAGAGAGGCCTGAGAGCTGCTAGGCCCACGCATCCTAAGGCACCCATGCTGGAACAGATAGGCACTGCCACAGAACTCCCAGCCCAGGCCAGTGCATGCCACCCAGAAAGGCCCTAAAGCTGCCAGGCCCACAGGGCCCCAACCCACCCACATTGGAAATGGTAGGCGCTGCTATGGGACTCCCAGCCCAGGCCAGTCCCTGCAGCCCAGAGAATCCCAAGCCTCCCACCCACAGGCACTGAGGCAGCCATGCCAAATTGGCAGTCCCTGCAGGATCCTAGCCAAACATTAGGGTCAAATGAGTGGACTGTGAAATCCCCTGCCACATTCACTAAACACCAAAGGAAAGATACCAGAAATATGAAAAATCAAGGAAGTATACCACCACCAAAGGGTAACAATAACTCTCAAGCTCTAGATCCTATAGAACAGGAAATGACTGATGAGGAATTTTTGAGCAACAATTCTAAGGAAACTAAATGAGATACAAGAAAACTCAGACAACACAATGAAATGAGAAAAAGTATAAAGGACCTGAAAGAAGAAATGTACAAAGAAATCAATGCCTTGAAAAAGAATGTTGTAGAGACTGCACAGCTGAAGAATTCATTCAATGAAATAAAAAACACAACAGAGAGTTTAACCATCAAGCTACAACAAGCAGAAGAGAAAATTTCCGACCTTGAAGATAGGCTTTTTGAAATAGCACAGGTGGACAGAAAAAAAAGAAAAAAATTAAAAGCATTGAAGAAAATCTAAGAGAGATAACAGACAACCTTAAGTGCTCAAATATGCAAATTATGGGTATTCCAGAAGGGGAGGAAAAAGGAAATGACATTGAAAACATATGCAATGAAATAAAGGCAGAAAACTTCCCTGGTATAGGGAAAGACACAGGTCTTCAGATTCAGGAAGCTCAGATATCCCCAAACAAATTCAACCCAAAAAAGTCCTCTCCAAGACATGTTATAGTCA